GGATTTTGCAGTATCCTTCCCCTGCCATGCCCACCAAGCCACGCCCATGGAACCAGTAGTAAAAAAAAATGAATTTCACCACTGGCTTAGAGGATTGTCTGAATGTTCCAATATCTCAGGGGTTGCCACAAAGAAGAGGGAGTCAAACTATTCTCCAAGGCACCTGACTGTAGAACAAGAAACAATGGGTGGAAACTAAGCAAGGAAAGAAGCAACTTAGAACCGAGGAGAAATTTCCTGACAGTTAGAAAAATTAATCAGTGAAACAGCTTGCTTCCACAAGTTGTGAATGCCCCAACACTGGAAGTCTTTAAGAAGATGTTGGATAGCCATTTGTCTAAAACGGTATAGGGTTTTCTGCCTAGGCAGGGGGTTGGACTAGAAGACCTCCAAGTCCCTTCCAACTCTGGTATTGTATTGTATTGTATTGTATTCCACTTTATCCTTGTTCAAAAGGAACCTGAACATAAAATGTCATCAATTCATGATACTCAATGAGGCTTCCTTTTTGAAGATGCACACACTTAAGATATGGATGGAAAACATCTCCTTGACTAGATTTTCCTTGTGCAGATGCTCAACACATAGGCTGTCATTATATGGGGCTGTGAAAACATATCATGTTTAGATGAGATATATTATATGGTAGGCATGAGGCATTTTTACATTTTTTTAAAAAAATATTCCTATATTGTTATATTACTGTTTATTGCAAATCATTTACTAATTACATTTCTTTCTTTTTTTAGTCCATGGCTCTGATCCTATGTCAGATTGATTCTGCGAGACTGTTCTCTGTGACCTTATTTTTGCAACTGGTCCAGAACATCTCAATGTTCATATCAGTCTATGGACTGATGACAGTCAAGCAGTGTCTTTATGTGATCCGCCCTTTGAAAGGAGAAAGTGAAATAAGAGAAACCATTATTAATAATTTAAAACATGAGAAGCAAAAGAGTTTTGTGCTTTACCATATGGCAGGATTTAGCTGACCTTGTCTGCACTCAGAAGCTAAGCAAAATTGGGCCTGGTTTTTACTTTCATGGGAGACTCTTAAGGAATACCAAAATTTTAAGGGAATATAATGGTAAACCACATCTGCTGCACTGCCAAAAAACTATATCTATGAAGTCACCAAGAGAAAACTCAATTTGAAGGAGAATTTACCTTCAATCGCATCCTTTGTGCTACTAATGTTGCCTTTCTCTGGATGTCTATAGTACAGCATCCAGGGCAATGGTACTCTCGTTTCATTTTAACCTTGTAAATCACACCATCCATTTGTGCTGTTCCGGGAAACAGAGGGACTTTAGCAAGAGCTTTCATTACAGTCAATTCCCCACTGTGATTTCCATTCCCTGCTTTGCACTTGCATTGAATTACTGTAAGATTGGCATAAGAAAATAAAGAAAGGAGAACAGAAACCTAGTAGGGCTATAAGCAAGATAAGCCATGTATCACCATCTCGGACAGGTTTAAGAATGTTGTGAGACAGACATATAGGTGAGCCTCCCATAACCAGGTATAATTCTCTAGATGTATTTAGATTACAACTCTAATAATTCCCATAGGGGCAAATTGTCATGGAGGAAATCTGTGTGGTTACTAATATGCTACCGATTTGATGGCGTATTAGCAATAATCTTCAAGTTGCCCACAGTCCCAATACATATG